TTAATATGTTTGAATTTTTTATATAAGAAGCCTAGAACACAATAGGTTTAAATGAAATTGTATTGATTTCGAAAAAAGTCAAATTTGAAGTTATTTGTAATTAATATAATTATTGTAGTATATTATCATATCCTCACTGTTCTTGTATTCGAATGAAAAAAAAAAGTTTTAGACACTTGACAGTAAAGAGACAAAGTGTGATAACAGCTGTTGTGGATATTTGTACCTGTTTACTTCTAATCTGTTCGTGTGTTCCTCGAAAATCTTGATATCAATCAGATAAAATACCCGATTATATCATATATCAGATGTATAATCTGATTGAAAGCCAAGGAACGTCGTTTAATATTAAAACGCAGAATGCTTTGTCACGTGATTTTAAAATATCAAAATAATTATTTGAATAATATCATAATAATATCTAGACGGTGTTTTTTGTTAAAAGGTCGTCTATCAAATTTCACCTTTTCCAAGAAGCAAAAAACACTGTTTTGCAAAAAAAAAAAACAGCAACTGTTTTTAATGATATTTATCATGGAAAATAATAAAATACATGATACCTTGTACATAAAGTAATATGTATGCATGCATTAAATGTGGTATAAGCCCTTTCAATAAATCAGTGTTGATTTAATTATATTTTGAAAGGGTGCCTGGATATATTTTAGTCGACATTACCAACTTAATTGTCTGTATTTTTGAATACGCCCTTTTACCAGTTTATGCTCCCAATTTTTCTACTTTGTTTGATACCAAAAACGTATTTTTCCAATTTTAATGGTTTACGCCCTTTTTACAAAACATCATAGAATTATAATTATTAAATATCTGTATATTATATTAATGCAATTATAATTATTATATTGCTATAATTATTTTTAATATGAGTGATTTTTGGTGTAACGTTGTGTTTAATATATTACAATTATACATGAAGAACAAAAATAAATTTAAAAAGTGCTGGTTGTTATGAAACAAAATAATCAAATAAATCAACACAAAACAATGAATATGAGCAATACATAATAAACTAGATTGTTAATTATTGAAAGGACGTCAAGTTATTATCTGTTATTTCGAGTAGGTCAAATGGATTAAAAATATCACCCACTAAAACACAGATATAGATTTAGCATTGGATATTATCAACACCTGTATTAACCCTAAAGCAGTCTGCATGGGAGTTTAATTGACCCCCATCAAAAATACAACTTAAATATTACAAAAAATTGAATAATAATATTATAATATAGTTTTGTATTTATTTTAGATAAATTGTTTTATTATAAAATGTTTTATTCATATTTATGTATCACATGGTAACCCACTATGTATTTGAATTTAAGGAAAATTAACTTTCTATTCGTATTTTACTCTTTTTTAGAATTGGGTTCTGGTAGACCCCACTCGAATATATGAATTTTAAAAAAGACATGCGCCTGCTTAAGGGTTAAAATGTCTATAATACTATTACTGTTATAGTAAAATATAATTTGTATTATATATCTAAATATACTATATATGGGTTATTTATAAAACTATACCTGTGAAACCCTTTAGTTCAAAGTACATTGGTCCTATCATCAACTATTTTTCCTGGACGTATAGTTTTTCTTATATAACAGATAGTTGTAGCGTAGCTAGATGGGAAATGGTCCGTTATAAAAAATAAGCCCTCTAACTAACGTAATCATTATAAAAATTCGAAATATACCTACAAACACGTAACATTGTTACACTGCTAAACCATAGACGATGAAAATATATTATGATTATGCGGTGTTATCATTATTTAGCCATAACGGTTTTTTTCCTTTTTTTATCATCACAGACTCTAGCGCACCGTCTAGTTTGTAGTTTGATCATCTGATGCACCTAGTACCTAACAATCTGATTAGTAATCATATTAATCGTATTTGATTAGGAACATCAAAATCCATCGGATTATTTATCTGATTGATAATCTAGGTTGTCGACGTACCTATAAATATATATTATGTGTCTATGCGAGGAACACACGGTATTATGGCATTTTCATTTGAAGATCATTTTTTTTTTTGTCGCAGCACATAACGAATAGTTCACTTAATATGTTTCTGTACCCCAAAATAAAATGTAATTCAGTGGAATTAGCAGCGACTGGGATGTTTTAAAAATACCACTTATATCCCTTTGTGTTCTAGTCGCCTCATACCGGGTGATTCATTTAAGTGGATTTACTCATTATCTCGGAAAGTATTAATTTTTTCGAAATTTATTTTCTGGCACATTCAAGAAATAAGCAACTCTACAATTTTATATTTATGTTAATTTTTATCACCCTTATTTGTGGGGGCAAAACCACTACCTACTTTTGATTTTTAAATGGCGACTATTAAAAAATCCATAAATAGAAGGAGTATTATTTAAAATAAATTTCAGTGTTGACATTTTAGATTCCCGTCAATCCGTTGACGAGGTATTCCACTTTTAAGTGGTTTTAAAAAATAAGGGTGATAAAAATTAACATAAATATAAAATTATAGAGCTGCTTATTTCTTAAATGTGCAAGAAAATAAATTTCGAAAAAATTAATACTTTCCGAGATAATGAGTGTACCCACTTAAATGAATCACCTGGTTGTATTATTATGGGTAATTATAAAGCTCTACAAAATAATTATAAAATAAATAAAAGTATAAGTGTGTAATAGTTATATACCAACATTCCTTTCGGGTTGTAAAAACAGGTTCATGTGTACGAATTTGTTTTTTTATAAATAATGTTTATTTATATAATATCGATTACGTTATTCGGTATATTATATTACATTACATTACATATTAGACATTAGTACCACATAATATATAATAAATATAATATTTTTAACAACGAAGTGTCGGATCAAGGGTCACTGCCACCATATCAATGTATATTTCGTGCTGTCCCCACTTTCACCGATTGATTAAATATTAAAATAAAAAAAATTATGTTATACATTTCAAAATAATTTCCTGTTAGATCGAAATCCCTCCTCGTTGTATTTATCATTTTAATTTAATCCGGTCTCGAAAGATAACTGGGTACTTGTATATTTTATGATACCGGACTACAGTATATGTATTTTAAAAAAAAAACTCTTATCATTTGGAGTATTTTGTATAATAATATAATATAGGTATGTGTAGATAAAAATATTAAACAGGTACCCATTTTCCAGATTATTCGACAGTATAATAATATATTATGCCACATTATTTTTCACATGAAATCATCTTATGAATTCAATAATTACATTTGGAATATTACCATCATATTCGTTTTGAATTTTAACACATTTTTGACGTTTACATACTTTTAAATTTAGTTGCTTATATTTTCAGTTTTTTAATAATATTATTATATTTTATAAGGACATATCTTTGGTTCCATAGAAGAAGGTCCTTGGAGGATGTGATATCGCCATATTATGTCGTCTCCGTCTAACAAATGTACGATCTATCAAATTTAAGTTCAGCAGGCACAACTTTGTGCTGTTAGTTTTATTATTTCAAGAGTGAATTGACCTATTATTGTCAAACTTAAAGATAAGAATATTATCTATTCAACACTGGCGCTATTTTTTCGATATTTTAATTTATAAGCGAGAATGACGTATAAGTATTATTAAATTATTCATATTCTTATCTCTCTTAAAAATTAAAACACTTAGAAAATAGCGCCAAGTTGTTATCTTTAAGTTTGATAGTAGGCATAAGCGAAACTAGACAATTTAACTAGGACAGGTCAAACGGTAAATATTAGAAAAAATTGTTGACATTTTAGATGTGGAAATTAAGTTTTTAATTTTAATCTTAAATTCTTTTAAGTCAGTACATGTTATCCAGTCATTATTAGCTCAGGCCATGGCCAGACTGGCCTGACCCGTAGTTTCGCCTGTTTTAATGGGTAAAATTCATTCTAATATTAGAACTAAACGGCACAATGTTGTCAGTAGGGGCTAAACGCTAATTCTGTTATGTTGTAGGCACGTTTGAAAGACGGAGCACTTGCGTGTGTACCTCGCGATTTCCTTTTAATTCAATTTTGAAAATACAATACGTACACTTATGACATTTAGACAGTAAAAAAAAAAAAGGAAAACAAATTACATAAGATAAAATAATAAAAAAAAAAACATTTATTTCCCCGAAACGAAAGATACGAAAAAAAAACCTGCCCGATCGAGTTAGGAAAACTCGTAATTTCGTATAATATTTTCGTGAAAAAAAAAAAAAAAAATTCGCTGTCGTCAGTGGGGCCAGCGCGTATATAATCCGGCGTTATGTCATAGCATAATATTATAACATAATAAATTCGCTAAACTTTCCTTCTGCATGTATAAATTCTAGATATATAATATATCGGTGCAGAATTGTCGCGTAGGTACAAACGTTTTATTATTATTTTTTTTTTTTCCCCCACGTAATATTTCGTATTTTCATATTATACTGTGTACCTTTGGATATATCGCAATATATATGTATGTAATTTAATTTCCCCGATTTCCCGAAACCGTACACTCATGCTGCATATTATCTATACAGGTACCTATACCTGCCCACTCCGCATTTCCCGGAAAATTAATTTCACTTCGACGAGCGGACGCGCGCGTTCACCGCGATCCGGAATATAGGTATCCGTAATACCTAATGATATTATGTGCATCATAATAACAGTGTTATAATGCGCGTGCCTATAATATTACCTGCAACGTTTATACCGATTTTGTGTCTGTGTACAGTTTCCCGCGTTAGTTCGCGATTTGACTGGCAGAGCGTATCGCTCGGGGGCCGCTACAACAACTACGCCTAGCCACGTCGTACCGTCGTCACGTCGCATGTGTGCAGCCGCGCGGGCCCTCCGGTCACGGTGGTAGGGGTTCCGGCCGCCGTCCCGCCAACACACCGTTTAAATACATTCGGGCCATCCCCGGTGTACGTCAATCCGTACCTCAGAACGCTGGAACTACGACATTCAACATGTGCGGTGAGTAGCCATACAATATACCGATTTATTATTACGAATGTTTATACCATACGTCTTATAATAATATTTATTTACAACAATAAATACAAATATGATTTACACAATATGTAAATAATATACGAATTAAATCGGGAGTCGTTAACGTTTATGCGTAATGATAGTTTTATCCGTATTTTGCGGATCAACCCTGTCGACAAAAACCGAATTCCTATAAATCTATTTTTATTACGTTTCCTCGCGTACATTGTCCAACTATACAATAATATATTCTTCCGTGTCTAACATTACTGTATTGCCTATTCAACCTATACGTACTTTGAATATCATTTAGAAACCAAACGATTTCGATTTTTAACTAGCAGTTAAAAAAAAAAAAAACAACACTCTTTTGAGTCCTACGCAGAGTTGTTGACGAGATAATAATAACACTTAATATACATGCACACGTTGATATAATAATATAATATTGACACTGTACGTATAAATAACGTTGTCTAAATAGTTTTTTAAATATATCCAATCGAATATTTCGTGAGACTTTTCAACAAACATTTCATTAACTATACATATATAATATATACATGGTATATATTTGTAATTGTTTACAAGAATTTTAATGTTGGTAATTATGAACATATACCATAATATTTAACTATAGCCCAAAAGTACGATGTAGGCATGCATACTAAAATCCGTATAGACGTATAGGTTTTTAATATTTTTTTAATTGATATATAATCGTTGAATTTTTTTTTTAAATCCATTATAAGTTTTGCTTTTTAAATTTGTTTTGATTATGTTGATTTGGTTTTTCATAAAAACATATCCAAGAAAATAAACGTAATTTATTAATTTTAAACTCATTGAGAATAATTATAGTTTTTAAATATTAATTATATATAATAATTTCTTTAGAATACTAGTTGTCAATAACTTATTGTAAGAAATAACTTTGTCTCGGTGTACCGAATGCCGTTTTAATACAATTTAATTTTATATCAGGAATTTTTTGATATATTATGCAACTTGCATGAGCATGCAATGTGTATGATGTAGTATGATGTATGTAAGATACTATTGTACTAATGTACCTTTCTCTGTTCAAAATAAAATGTTTTCTGGGTGCATTGCAGTGTATTCACCTAAGGAAACACACGTATGTCTGAATAAAAGAAAAAGATACCTACAATAATAATAAAGCTAGGTAGATAGATCATAAACCGGTTGTTTTCGCCATTCACTTTCATTGGTTGTTACAACATAAGATGTTATAAATTATAACTTATAATACTCGTATACTCCATACCTGGATCATGTCCAAAATGGTAATTTGTTTCTGAACAACTTTTAGGTGTTAACCATCATATCCTATACTATATTATATTTAAATTAATTGCACATGGGAATTATATTTTAATTTATTGTATAAAGTAGGTATACAAATGTATAAAATGTTAATATTATTAAATATGAAGATTTTTAACATAATATCAAAAAAAATTTTAAAAGCAACTAAAATAATATTTAAAAATTATTACTATTTAGATATCTGTTGTCACATTTTTATTTTGTTGCTTGAAAATTGATGATATTCAGCGATTTAAGATAAGTTTATTGATGGTTTGAAATTCTATTTTGTTTATTGTTTTTCGATTAATACTACTGTAAATTTACTACATATATTATAGTGTGTTTATAAGTAAAAATAAATGAAAATATGTGTAGATAGTAAACAAAATCTGTATTTATTGAATAAATAAATATTATAATAAATAATTATTAAATAAATACATTATAAAATCTTAAATAAAAATAAAAATTTTATTATATTATACTGGTTCTTGAAATGAACTTATATTGGCCTTCACTTTCAGGTTTTTTTTAGACAAAAATCAGTATATCTGTTTGTACTGTGTTTGTGTAAACAGATGTTCAATATGTATGATGTATTTTGTATGCTAATTTTATTAATAATTAAGTAATACTATTAAAAAATATATTGCTCTATTAGGTATTTAGTATACACACGGTAACGGGAAGATTTTAATTGATTTGATTGAATTTAATGCATTTGAAAGTTGTTTATATAACGCGGGTACACCTACTAGAAATATATAGGTAATATTTATGATATATGCATAATTAACCAATGTTGAAAAGTTTGTACCAGAAACGCCCTGTTATGTTTCTTTATAAGAATTTATATTAACACTTCTATAATAAATTACATTCACATTTTCATTCTTGTAGTATTAAGTGTATCTAAGGTTAGGCTATATCTATAAGTTAAAAATTGAGTAATACCAATATTTATTATATCATATACAAAGATAGTATAAATTACATAAATTATGCTTAATAAAACTATTAATCATACATGGGTAAAAGATGGTAAATGAAAACTATAATTAATGTTTTTAAATTAAATAATATTTTTGAAATAAAATATGGCTACACCTATACTTAGTTATGGAATTTTGTTACTAGAATCGTTTAAATTTTGCTCTTATTTGTTGATTGTGTTTTGTTTTAGGAATTTTTGCTTATCTCAACCACTTGACACCCAAATCAAGGGAAGAGATCATAATTCTTTTGGTAAATGGGCTTAAGAGATTAGAATACAGAGGTTATGATTCAGCTGGTAAGTATAATATTTTTATAAAATTTAATTAATTTTAACTTTATTGTTTTAAAAACATGATACGTCCTATGGTTCGGAGTGTAAGGGGGCAGACAGAAAAGTAAAACAGAAAATGAGGGTAGCAGAGATAAGAATGTTTTGGCGGATGAATGGAATGACAAGAAAAGATAGGATTAAAAAAAAATATTGAATTTTTTTATAAGAATTTTAATATTACATTTTGATGAAAATATTACTATCTTTCAAAACATGGATAACCAAACTTCGTTTAGGATTATTTTTCATTAGCAATGATCAATTGTTGTGTACAGATATATATTTAATTTCCTTCTATATCCTACCTTCCCAACTTCTCACCTATAACAGTGACCCTAATCTAACCTAACTTAACCTATTCTGCGAAGTATATGATTTTTTTTCTAATTAAAAAATGTAATCATTAGGGATCAAAAGTTATAGGAGCTAAAAACGGCAAAATATACACGAAAAAATTGTAAAATATGCATAAAAAATGTTAAATTTGCAAACAATTATTCAAAAACAAATTAATGTCATTATTATATGTGCAAAAAAAGATAAAGATTTAATGTGAATTGTACTGTTGTCATTAAATTAATAACATACTGAAATTATAAGAAATAAGAATAAATAACTATGTTAAATAATATTGAGTTTTATATTCAATATTAATTAAAATACATTGGGTAAGATAGAAAAAAAAAATGTTTTCAGTAAATATCAAATATACATAACATGCATAAAATATGCGAAAATCGATGAAATATACATTTTTTGATTTTTCTCTAAAATTAACGAAATATACAGAATATGCATTTTAAATGTTTGATTTTTAAACTCTCCATTGTATAGAAATAATTTTTAGCTTGGTTTGCTATAAATCCAGTGCATTCACAGAATTTATATACAAAGAATCAAATGTTCTACTATTGAAAAAAATTGTTCTATAAAGCATCAGTAATTTATATAATTAAAAATAGACTAACATCTAGTATTGATCATGGATATAATACAAGACAATTATTAAACATTACTGTTCCCTTAATGCACAGAAAATTAACTCAATCTACTTACTTATATATAAGACAAAAAATATATAAACTGCTACCATTAGACTTCAAAACAACTCTATTGTTTAATACTTACTAACTGGTTGCAAAATGAACCAAATTTAACAATTTAAATAGTTTTATATCTATAATCTAGTTGCTTGCATTTGTATTTTATTAAACTGTATTATACGTGAAGTCTTCATGTATTATTGTTACATACATTGTATATGTTTAAGTTAGTTTCATCTAATAAGTCCAAAATTGTAAACAAAAGTTAAATGTAAATTATTATTTCAATGCATTATTTTCATTGCTATAAATTGTTAATTCATGGGCCCCTACACGAACCTGTTCAGTGGGGCCTATTATCTTTTCGAAAAAAAACCAATTAAAATGATAATAAAAAATAATACTATATACTGAAAAATATGCAACTCCTATAACTTCTAAGTCCTAATTATCATTAATTAGTAACAAATTAACATGTATTATGACTAACATTCACCTAAAATTTTCTCTTAAAATTTCAACATTATAGTTATTAACAATTTAAAACATATTATATAATATTACTGTCTATTGTTCATTAATTGCATCTACTGATATGCAATTCTATTTTTATATTTTTGATTTATTAAAAAATTAGGCATTCAAATTTAAACTATGTTTTATAAATTATCAAAAACCAATTACATATTACCATTGTATATTGTACACATTTTTATTTTATTTGTTTTTAGTTTAATATATTTTATTATATTTAAAAACAACTATTATTGTTTTTCATATCATATTTTTTGTTGGAATAGATACATTTGTTAGATAGGTATATGCTATAACTTTAAAAAATATCTCCATTTCGGTTTTTTTTAAGTACCTATGTACAATTTCTCATATCTTCATATTATTTTCTTACAATTTGTCTTTACATATGTGTTTTCTTACAAATAAAACTACACTGTCCTGTCAATCACCCCATTAAAGCATTAATATTTATTATTTCTATGTATTGTATTAATAAATAATAACCAAGACTAAAAATTTTAATATTAAAACTTATGATTTTGGAAATTATATTTAAAATGAAAAAAAAAATGGTCTATGATTTTGAACTTATTAACAACACACTATCTTCATAATAACATAACATATCATAAAAATATCTGTTTGGAATTAATTCAAATTTAATAAAAAAAACAATTGCAGTTAAAAGTCAAATGATTTGAATAGTACTTAAAAATATTATAGCTTTCACAGGTTGCTGCATAAGTAGCTGACAGGTTTGACTAATAATAAATATGTCATAATCTGGAGAGTTGAGGTTATAGCTGAATGAGCTACATTTTATCTACCTGCATAGGTTAAATATATATATAAGAAAAAAAAATATTCAAATAATTTTCACTAATGGGTGTCACTCATATCTTGTTTATACTTTTAACATATAAATTTATTATGCACTTCTTTATAGATTGTTTTTTTCTAATAAAAAAAAAAAAATAATAATAATAAATATCCAGTATTGCCTTATTGGGCCACATCAACAATTTATTTTTGTCTCCATACTATTCTGTATATATATTAAATCATTATTTTATATATTTATTATGTAATTTATATTTACTTATTAAAAAGTGATTAAAAAATGCCCTTGATTAGAAATATGTTATACTTTTTTTTTTCTAAAAGTTAAATTATTAAATTTACTCAATTATTTTAAAATAGTCAATTGAAAAAAGTTGAGTAATTCATAGTGTGTTTCCAGTAATATTTCAGGTAAACTAAACTTAGCTTAGTAGATATCTAAGTAATTTTTGTAATAAATAAAATAGTTGGAAAATTTTCTTATTTCAATATTTTTACTATTTACTCAATAATGACTTAATGATACCTATTTTATAAAATTATACAATGCTAAATTTATAATTTGTGTGTATAATGATTGTTATTTAAACATTAAATAAACTTTAATAGCAAATTTTTTTCTAAAATTTTCTAAATTCAAGTTTGTGCCTTGAAAATCACAAAAATTTGAAAATAATAAGAAAATGGAAAATTATCATAATCTCAATTAGTTTTTTAAACATATTAAGTTATAATTGATTTTAATTCTTTTACATGCCCATATCAAAATTTATATTATTGTTGGATCAGTAGTAAAATTAGGATTACAATTTAACAAATGATTTTCTCCAGAATAATATCTGTGTCTTTACTAGAATAAGAAATATTTTTTTAATATTGATTATTATTGTACAAATCATTATTATTATTATTCTCTATTTTGTCTTTAACTGGAGGAGGTATATTGGATTTGTAATACAGTTTTAATGAATTTATTATACATAAGAATCATAATTAATTAATATTATTTATGATCTTATATGTATGTATGTGTAACATATATTTTTATTTGAACTATAATAGGTATTGCGTTTGATGGACCTGACGGTAAAGACATAACAATTGTAAAGAAAGAGGGAAAAGTTGTTGCCCTTGAAGATGAACTACTTTCATGTAAGTTCTTTTTTTTATAATTGATTTTGAATCTAAAATTTTAAATTAATTATGTTATAGTGAAAGATCGGCTTGACTTCGAAGAAATCCTTAATGATCATATTGGTATAGCTCACACACGTTGGGCTACTCATGGTGTACCCAGCTGTGTGAATTCACATCCTCAGAGATCGGACAAAGAACAGATATTTTGTGTGGTCCATAATGGTATCGTAACTAATTATAAAGAAGTCAAAGCTTTTTTGGAACGTAAGGGTTATGTTTTTGAATCGGAAACTGATACTGAAGCTATCGTGAAGCTGGTTCATCACATTTACACACAACATCCTAATCTATTGTTCAGAGAACTCATTGAACAAGCTATACAGCAATTAGTATGTCTTCAAAGTTATTATATTTATCATTTACTAATATTATTTACTATTAATAATAATGATTGATTTTAGGAAGGTGCTTTTGCTTTGTGTTTTAAATGTAAGTTATTCCCTGATGAATGTGTGGCAACTCGAAGGGGAAGTCCTCTCCTTGTGGGTATTAAATCAGATACAAGACTAGCTACTGATCACATTCCTATTCTTTATAGTAAAGGTAATAAAAACATTGGTTTATTCTTTAATTTAAACCATTAGAATAAGTTTTTTTAGTCAAATTAGCACATTGGTTGTATTTTTGTTTTTGTTCCGTTTGTGACCCGTGAAGATACATTAGACGGAGAGTCTCTTTCATTAACAGGTACAAATCATTAGACAAATCCATTTTTCTTTAATGATAAGAAATTAATTAATGGGCTTTAGCACTCAAAAACAACCTAGACATGTCTATTGTTGGCTTATTTGGTGGTGGCACTAATAAAGATAATTTGTATAATCAAAATTTCGAAGAGAAATCTGTTGTGGTAAGCAAATTGTTTTAGAAAATGGTATGGATAGTGAAGAATTAGGTATAATTTCCAAAATAGTTTCTAGTCTATATATATCTAGTTATTTAAAGTAAATATACACTATAAGTATAAACATAAGTCACGCAAGTTATAAAAAACTGCAATATGCTCTACATTTTATTCAATCCTTAAATATTTAAAATTGATTATCAAGTTTGACTACAGTCATTGTAGTAATGCTAGTATAAGATAAAATCTGTGTATCATAACTTTTCATCGACCATCAGATTAATAAAACAAATATTGCATTACAATAATGAGATTTGTATCTTAAAATAATCTGTAATGATAAAAGATAGAATAACAATCAAATATATAGTTTTAATCAGAATTAATTTTGGTTTAAATGGACTTGTTTAAAAATTAGTAGATATCTACTATTGGTTTTTATTATTTTATCAAAAATATATTATATGGTCAACAAAAAAAAAATTAATTTAAATATGAAACTGTACATTTTAAATTATACTATTCAAAACAGTTTTTTGAAACTAAAGGTAGGTTTATGTCTAACAGTGAGAATTGTATGTTTTATCAGTCATGTTAAATTGACAATATAATGCAAATTTTATGGACTATCTACACATGTGTCGTTTTTTACTCAGTTTGAATTATATTTTCTTCAGTTTAGTTTAGTTAAGTTTGAATTTAGTTCAGTTTTTTAATAATATAGAAGAAGCATTATTTTGGTTCTTTACCGTAGTTTTCCTACTGCAGATCCGTCATTTTTTGGGAGAAAAAATATATATGGAAGTCAATGTTCAAGAAAATGTCTTCTCAAAGAGGTCATAACTTCCTTATAAATTTATTGAATGAATGAAGAAACTAATTTAATGAATGCTGCAATTATTTGTGTGTACTATCAATTGTTGGAATTGGTGATTGTATACATACAAAAGAAGAAACTATTATGAGAAAAGCTATAAAAACTTGTTGTTCAACTTTATGGAAAATGAATCTCTCATCAATCTTTTGATCTTATCTTTGATTTCACTCTTGAATATTCAACAAATTATCAATAAAAAGTACAATAAATCATTGCGTTTAAATCCTCCATAAGCAAATTAAACAAGTCAATAATGAGGTTATTTAATTGTTTTTTTAAATATTATGGACAATTTTGGACAGCATTTGTGTTAAGTATATCCTTAATCTAATACTTATACTTTGGACTGATATAAATTATAATAAATCACATTGACCAATATTTATTTTATTATTTTAAGCAATACCTATACTATTTTCTGTATATATCTAATATTAATAAATCTTCAAAATATCTTATTGTTTCTTACTTTAAAAATATTTAATTTATATAGAGCTATTATTTGTATTGACTTTAATAAATGTTATTCAGGTATTATTAATTATTCCATGAAAAGGAATTGGATGATAATATAGGTATTATTATAGTTAAATACTATTATTTTTATTTAAAATAAACATTTTATTTTAGTACTTAACATTTCAGGTGCATACTGGCATGCCAGAGTACCAGGAATTTCCCGATGGCCATTGATTTATACATGTTTCCCTACTCCTATTTCCTTTAATATTTCTAATTATTTTTACAGCCACAAGTGAATAATACATTTTATGTCTGATAGAAATCACTCTAGGAACTGTACAGTGTTCTATTTAAGTGTCTACACTCAATATTTCGAAAAGTACATATTGACTCTTCAAAAACATTTTTTATTTTTTTGACAAATTAAGAAACAAGCAACTCTAAAATGTTACATTATCATTATTTTTTACTACCATTATTTTTGGGAGTGAAAAAACTACCTACTTATGATTTTCAATTAATAATCTAGTAGTTAGATGGATTAGTTAAAATAAATGTTAAGTTAAAATTGTTGGTTTCCGTCAACTCATTCATGAAATATTCCATTTTTAAATTTAGGTAAAAAGAAAGTAATGAAGCGCCATTTGTGTTGTGGCTTAGCATGCTACGTTTTAATAGTGGTCCACTACTCTTCTACTATCCAAAATTAAAAGTGGAATATCTTATCGAAAATTTAATAGATAACAAAAATGTTAACACCAAAATTAGTTTAAGCTAATATTTAATCTATTTAAAATCCACTTAAATGGAATTCTCTGTACAACTAATGATTGACACTATCCCATAATAATTTATTGTTGTATAATAAAACAGATTGCTTGTCATTTATCTTTAAATACTATCAAGTAAACTTAACTATATTATATATATATTGATGGATAATTTATTAAAAACAATGCATTAAATCAATAAAAAAAACTATACTTGGTTGTTCTGCAGACATCAGATTAAAATTTGGTGCAGTTGCATAATAACAGGTTTATGGGTAGTTTTATATTAAATCATTCAAAACATTTAAATTTTTAACAACAAATAAATAGACTACCAACCACGAAAATATAACACATTCATTTTTTTTTTTAATACTGTAATAATTTATAATATTTAATTATTGGGAACATTATATTATTATTAGATATTAATGATTTATAATAGTGTATCTGTATGCACGATCTACTGTTATATAATTTATATTTTGTATTGTGGGTTCTGGTTAGATGAAATATAATAATAATAAATTCAAAAGTTATCGTGTTAAGTAATTTATAGTGACCAATGATTAGTTAATGATTCAATAATCAATTGTTTTGAAGTGATTGTATGTAGTTTTACTATCAATGTATAATTAGTTATTTTAATTTTGTTTTGGTTAGAGGTAAATAATAATTCTATAATTAAAATTTATTATAATTTTAATAAATTTAGAATAATTTTTATATTTGTAACTATACTGAAGGTCATACAAATATTTTAACATTTGTCTGGTGGGTTTATGCGATCGACTTTTGAAATCCAATGGTCATTTATCACTAGTTTCTTTTTATTTAATTTATATTGTTTGTTATTATAAATATCAAAAACCATTTTATGATAAAAATTCTTTGACTGGCAGTAGTTTAAAATTTTTAGAAATTTCTTATATTCTATTCAACACCAAATAATTTATTGGTGAATGATCGACAAAAACCGGAACTGCAATAATGCTTGTTGCATAATAATTACACATATACGCAATTTCTAAAATATTTGGATTATAGCCAACTGGAAAACAGGGGCTTGTGCATTATTTACAATTTTTTTGACCACTTAAATTAATTAATAATAATTAAAAAATAAAAGGCTGAAAAATATTGACGAAACTAATTTAAAATTAAAATTTTTAACTCTATCAAGTATTTCTTAAAGGGAAGAATTGTTTAAAAATATGAAGTATACTTCACTTAATAATATGTTTGATTTATGTATTTAATTTATTGTCTCATGACTGATACCCTACAAGTAATACATATTTGATACCTATATGTAATATAACGTTCTCAATATTATTCTGTTTATCAATAATTTATAAAAAAAAAATTTTGTCATAGATAATATTGTAAATTTACCTACAATAAATTGTTTACTGTACATAAAAATGTAAATAAATACAGTAGACTAATAATTGAAAGGACATAGTTTCTTTTATTATCAATCTAATACGGTCTGAGGAACTAGGATGCATGTAACCTACTTTATTTCCAAAAACAAATCAATTTAACATTTTGAATTTTGAAATGTTTAGAACATCGTTACATTCGCGGTGATAAAATGTCCATTCCCCTTCCTCTACCGCGTCAGGAGAGCACATCTGAATTTCATCCACTTGGAGACAAGGAAGAAGTCGAATATTTCTTTGCATCTGATGCTAGTGCCATTATAGAGCACACAAATCAAGTTATATACTTGGAGGTTTGTGCAAGATCAACAAACAATAGGAACCTTATGTTTGTCGGATTTTTAAAATTTACTACCTATTTTTTAGGATGACGACGTGGCTGCTGTAAGAGACGGAAGATTAACCATACACAGAATGCGTATGTCTACAGATGATCCACATGCCAGAGAGATCACCACACTCAAGATGGAAATTCAACAGATTATGAAGGGCAATTTTAGTTCTTTCATGCAAAAAGAAATATTCGAACAGCCAGAATCAGTAGTGACTACAATGAGAGGCAGGGTGAACTTTGAAAATCAGACTGTCGTGCTTGGTGGTATCAAAGTAATTCATAATAATAAAGAGAATCTAATAAATTAAAGTATGCAATCGTTCTTCTGTAGTCCTAATAATATAAATTATGATATTTTATGTTTGTAGGATTACATTCCAGAAATAAAACGATGCCGTCGATTAATGTTAATAGGTTGTGGTACTAGTTTCCACAGTGCTTTGGCAACACGTCAACTTTTAGAAGAACTTACCGAACTACCGGTTATGGTCGAATTGGCTTCGGACTTTTTGGACCGTAATACTCCTGTGTTCAGAGACGACGTTTGCTTCTTTTTGTCACAATCCGGTGAGTTGGACTTTTTTAATTATATTCTTATTGGATCAAAATATTTTATAATACAATCTAAATTTATGAAAATACCTTAAGTCTAATAGATATGAATGTGACAACTTTCATATTCATTTTAGGCGAGACTGCTGATTCTCTTTTAGCTTTGAGATATTGCAAACAACGAGGTGCCTTGATTGTTGGTGTTACAAACACTGTGGGCAGTTCTATAAGTCGTGAATCACATTGTGGTATTCACATAAATGCAGGGCCAGAAATTGGTGTAGCTTCCACTAAAGCATACACATCACAGTTTATTTCACTGGTAATGTTTGGATTGGTCATGTCCGAAGACAGGATATCAATGCAACCTAGAAGAAATGAGGTATTATAATATTCGACGATACTACACTAAGAAGATAGTATAATCGTGTAAACAATTTTTGTTTTCAGATTATCAGGGGTCTCGAAAACATAACTGACCAAATCCGTGAAGTGTTGGCAGCTGACAAAAAAGTGATGAAATTGGCCGAGTGCTTGTACCAAAAAAAATCGCTGTTGGTCATGGGAAGGGGTTACAACTATGCAACATGTTTGGAAGGGGCGTTGGTAAGTTTTCAGAGTTAAAGTTCTCAGCACCTGTGTCAACATAATATAATATAAGTTACCACTGTGATTTTTTTTTTTTATAGAAAGTCAAAGAACTCACTTACTTGCATAGTGAAGGGATTTTAGCCGGAGAATTAAAACACGGTCCGTTAGCCCTGATTGACAAACAGATGCCAATAATCATGATTCTGACCAGAGACCCAGTCTATAAAGTAAAATGTCATAAACACCCAAAATATTGATCGTATTTTATTTTTTTATTTAATCAATTTTCTCTGATGTAGAAATGTACTAATGCTTTACAACAAGTTACCGCCCGCGAAGGTCGTCCAATTGTTATATGTGAAAAAGACGACATTGAAACCAAAAAATTGGCTTGGCAAACCATTGATGTTCCACACACCGTTGATTGCTTACAGGTAAAAAAACACATCTAATGTTTATTTAACCGAAACGTGAGAGTCTCTGATTTCCTTATACCTAGTCGTTTTTTGTGTCATTATTAGACATTTATAGTCTCAAAATAAGAAAACATCACCATGTTGCACATATAGTGTAATATTATAACTTTCATATTGAACATTATAATAAATTAATATACTTCTTTTATTTTTTATGAGTATCCAATTTCAATACCTACATTTCTTGTTACTTATCGTAACTTTCGTTACCTACTGCTATTATCATTATCAGTTTTCTGAAAATAATACTATTTAACTACTTATAACAATTATAAATTTTTTCACCTAGATTTTAAGTAGTGTTTTGTTCCATAAATTGTATAATTATTTTATGTAATTTGATTAAACCATTACTTAGTCATTATTATATTTAATTTAATCACTGCTATTAGAACATAGTAATTGTTTGTTTAATGTTTCATTGTTTATGAGTTTTTTAACGTAATATTTTATACTTTTAGGGGTTGCTGACTGTAATACCGATGCAACTGTTGTCTTATCACATTGCTGTGATGCGAGGCTGCAATGTTGATTGTCCAAGGAATTTAGCAAAATCAGTAACGGTCGAGTAAACCATATTTGTTTAATCCGTGTTAAATATGAATATATATTACCAATTATGACAAGAATTTAATTCCCCTTATTTGTGGGTTCAATATAAAAAAAAGTATTTACATAAAATTTCTCTATACCATGGGTTATGAAGATTTGTGTTTCTATAATCAAAGTATGACATACTCAACATCCAAAGCTTGCAGAAAAACTATAAGTAAAAAGGTATTTTGATAAAATAAATATCATAATTGCATGTATCTATTATATTTGCTATCTTTTTTTTTTTATTAATATTATTTTGTTATAATGTTATGTGTTTATTTTTGTATTCATAAATATTTTTATTTTTAAGTTTTCCATTAAACAGATATTTTTATTTGTAACATTATTTTAACTTTCATGCAATTTATACATTTTTTTTTATATGAATCTTTTTTTTTAAGATTTTGGTTTTACTGTGATGTTTATTATTATTATTTTTTATATTTCGATGGTCAAAATATTTCTATTGATATTAAAAATTGTATCATTAGTTTTTGTCCATTATTTTTGTTGTATACAAATAAATTAAATAAAGGTACCCAATACATATTTTTTTTTTCCAAACATGTTATCTGAATAGATCGTATTAATTTTTTTTTTTTATTCATTCGCCCCTATTTCCTATGTTTTACTAGACACACATTCAGACTGATCCCTACAAAGACTCAAACAATCTGAGCTTAACTAATTCACCAATTCCACTGGATATTTTTTCTTTGGTAGTCCTCCAGCTAAGTTCTAATCAAAATTATCATATCAGTTGTCATTATAAAAATATGTACTTCTCTTTTATAGTTTTAGATCAAATTTGTGTAGTGCACAGTAAAATGAATAATATAGTATATGTTATTTAATCAAATATTAATTTACTTCTTTACAAATATTTAATAAATCATTGATAAAATAAAATAATTAATTTTCTATAGGTTTTTACCTTATTTTTGGATTTAATTCAATTTTGTGAAAACAGTGTACAGAAAAATATAATTTTATAGATTCAGACTGCTGGACATTTTAAAATGCATTCCCTAGAAAAAAAAATTGTTAATTATTTTAAAAATTAATAACTCTACTGTTAATATGTTTGGCAATGAATTATTATTATTAATTAATCCACATAACACTGTTTTTTAAAACCCTTTATTATTTCACATTTAGAGTATTAGAGGAACTTCTATTCCAAATTTTAAGTTTTTAGATTGTGTATTTTTTGAGATTTAACGATCAGTGAATGAGTGGGGTATTTGGCTTTTATATATATATATATATATATATAGATAGATTAGAAATTATTTTATTAGGTAATTTTGTATATTTTATATTGATATTGAAATCAATTTATCATTAAATTAAATAATAATAAAATAAATAATAATTAAATCATATTTAGGAATATTAAAAACCTACACAATTTTATTTATTTTTTTTTTTATGTGAAAACTACCAGAAACTTTACTTCGATGTATACCATTTTTTGAAATGAAAATTTCTTGGGGTGGTTTTTCAATTTTCTAAAGAGTTTTTCAAGCAAATGTGAAAAACTGAGAAAAACATAGAAAATTGATACAATATTAATGAAAATATATAATTCCTATTTAATTATTTTACCATAATATGACATATATATTGCTGACAAAATATCACTATGAACTCCTCTCAGAATCGTTGTTTTCGTTAGCAATAGTTTATCATTGCTTACAGATATATATTTGATTCCTACCTTCCCAAATTTCCACCTACAATAATGGATGCACCCACGTATGAAATACCTCAATTTTTTTACTCTATTGTGTTTTTAATATTACATTATTAAATAATTTAAAATTATAGTCTTATAAAAAAAATTTGCCAATTTTATATTATTCATACCCACCTACTTATTTTATCACATTGGTCACGAACTACCTTTACACCTTTAAAATGGTAATTATTCTTATTTTTATTGTATAAATCCATTTTATACATTTTTCCTGAAATGTTTTTGTGTTTATTGAACAAATTATTTATTAGGGTTTTAGTTTATTTTAAAGTGAACAAATAAAATTTTGCCAAAAAAATTAAATTTTTACAAAAATAATCCTTTTTATTTAATGAACACATCAAAAATATCAAAACTTGTATTACACTTTGTCCAGTACACAAATATTATATTCACAAAACTATAAAATATACGCGAGTCTCGTAGTCGGAGAATGATTTTACTGAATTACTTACTCCTAATATAGTGGTTCTCAACCTTTATTGATTCATGTCACCCTTATTGACAATAATTCAACATTAAGTCATCTTACCAATGAATAATCCATTGAAATTATAGGATATTCAAGGAGTGGTATCGTTGAAAAGTGAGTGATGGAGGAGTATTACGTTGTTCGGACGGTGTTAGTGGTTACATGACAGCGACGACAATAATATGATTTTATTCTAAAAAAATTTAAAGTTTTCTTATTTTTTTCTATTTTCCCAATGATTTTGTGTTACCTTTTCACTGGGTCCATGTTACCTCAGGGCGATATGTCACCCCGGTTGAGAATCACTGGCCTACTTATAATACCTACATACATTACTCCGTTTATTGTTTTTATTTTTTGTATTTTGGTTTATATTTAGGTAATATATTATACTGTAGAACATAGCGACGAGAAATAAATAATTATTATTATTATTAGAGTTTAGGTGCACAAAATAATGGACAATTTTCATTTTAAATATTGTGGGGGGGGGGGTACGAAACTTTACCTATGCAGTGTTTTGGTAGGTACAATAAGCTAATCGTAATAACAATAATTATTATTATAATACATTTCTATATCGGTTCATCGCGATTAAATGTTACAACTTCACGTTCATTGACGTGACACAAAATGAAAATAATTGCTTTTAACACGTAGGTACCTATTGGTACACGAACCCGGCGGAAAAAAAATATACCTAAGCCCTTCGGCCTGGTATAAAAATGTCTGTTTTCATAACACCGGACAGTCAAAGAAATGAAAACAATAACTATCTATACAGCTGAGCATGGCTGGTTTCCGCCAGAAACGTACCTTTATCTTTTCCGCCAATTCACTTTTCCATCAAATGAAAAAAATTAGCCTAATATTTGAATATTAATAGACAATTGTGTATATTACAATTATTATTAATTAGATAAAAAAATAAACTAAAAATTATAATAAAGTTTTTTCGATTTATGTATGATAAAAATTATGCTTATTATTTATTGAACACAAAGTAAAAATAGTTGTTAACACCCATAACGATTGTCTTACCACAATTTTTTACACAAAATATATCAATAATATAATCACTTTTTTATTATTTTAAATTTAAACTTATTTGTATTATTATTATTATTATAAATTTGTTTTATAATACGTACAATAATAATAATTTATGATACAATCGTCCATTAATATTCAAATATTAGACTAAATTTTTTCATTTGGTGGAAAAGTAAATTGGCGGAAAAAGGAATCGACCAATATTTTATGATTTGGCGGAAACGGGTAACTACCATAGCTATAGCTATCCACATTCTACATTGTCTCTATAAACATTGTCCATCAGCGATCGGGTACCAATCAAATCACAATAAAATACTTCGCGTACGATAATAATAATTCATAATTTTTTTTTTTTCTAAACCGTATATTTTCACCGCGGAAATATAATAACCGTGTATCATCGGTTGAATATTATACTTATAGAATACGAAGTAATTATTTAAGTATATCAGGAAACGTTTAGGTATAGGTCGGAAACGTTTACATGGGTGCCTGTGTATTTAACCTATACTTTATTAAATTTTTTTTCTATTTAAAAGCAACTTCGTTAATTCGACTACCTATGATTAGAGGGATATGCCGCGCCGTCTTGCACGTCTTGTGCACGTGACTTATTGCGGCCATAAACCAACGTAATATTCTCTAGGTGCGATGGCTGTCGACTTAAAGGAAAAAAAAAAAATCAATTAGTCCTATAAAAGTAAATGTAGAAAAAAAACTGACGTCGATGGAAGGAAAAAAAAGGGCGCACACATTTTGAATTATTTAATAAGCGCGTATATCCACCTCTCCGTCCCTTTTGGGCCAAGGACGGACTGTCACCGTGTTAGTTCACTTTTGTGTATAAGTTTCCGTTGGACCTTCGCGGGCAGACGCACTATTATATGTATATACCTAATAATAATGTACAGACGATTATTATAATATTTATGTCATGCTTACCTATATAATATATACACTACACGTACAGAAAACAGAACGGTTCGTCGTGTTTTGTCGCATCGTTCAGCACGGTATAGCGTGCGATGAGAGTACCAGACGTCCCACATTAACACGGACGAGGGAGATCGCTCAGACTCCGAAATCGCGTTCCGCCTTCACCCATCGAAATAAACGTTTTAAAATATTACTGCACCCTAATGTATTTGTCACGAAAAATCATTTAGGTAGGCGGTATAATGTACTTATATAGGTACCTATTATATTTGTATTGTGCGCGCGGTTGATCAAAATGCCACATACCAATAATGAATAAAGTAACAAAAAGGTTGTTTGTCCGAAAAATGTTATTTGAATACCTACTATTGACCTGCCAGTCTGTTAATACAAATAAGGTATATTATCGTATTTACCTATTTAAAACAAATAGTATATCGTTTTATATTATTGGGTACTCTCGAATTGCATCCGGGTGTTTTCGGAGGCAATTTGAGTATACTCAAACTGTTCACTCGAATCGCCTCTCATAGCATACCTAGATTATTAATTAATATATCGATAATTGACGTGTACTATCGATTATTATATTGAAAAGTTCAATGTTTAAAAGTATTAGCAAATAAATTTAAACATCGAAAACATATAACATAACTAATTTAAATTTAAATATTTGACTATAAAACATAATGATATTTATTTATTGATTGTTTACTATTTTTTACTATTATTAATTACTGTTGCATTGGTAATGTAAAACATAATACTATTTCATCCAAATTATTGTTTTATTATTGATTTTTAATACGTGAAATCTTGACACAGTACATATACCTATTTGCTTTACTATTTTACTATACTGCTTTACTATTTACTATGCACCTAATACCTATGTACATTGTACAATTGTTTTTAGTTTTAAAAAAATCGAAATATAAATCGATTCCGATTCCGAAGAAGTTTACTGCCTAAAATAGGAGGTAATTCGAGTAACCTTTCTAAAAAAAATTCACCATGGGAGGCAATTCGTGTGCGCCCATATTATTAGAAACCTAGGCACCTACACCCAATACCTGGATACCTTATGATGTCCAGTGATGTATACATTATTTTTGAAAAAAAAGGATCAAATGTATCGAATAGAACAAGAAAAGGAGCGGTAGCCCTTAAGCGAAATTTGGGTGGAGGGTTTAGCTTCTCAAATACTATTCCTTAGCCCTCTTTTAAGATGGCACTATGTGTAACAAATAAAATCATTTTCATTGCAGAATAATTAATAATGTAATAATAATCATAATAATAACTATATATGAAATTTTTGAAGTACAAATGGCAAAAGCTAGAGGTACCTACTGATAGTTTCACAAAACTGAATTGTGTTGAACGTTCATTTTTCATAGAACATCACTACAAGGTAAAAATTAGAATATTCAAAAAAATATACTACATAGGTAGTATACAAAAAAAACAAATTTTTTTTTTTGTCTTTTTGTAGAAACTATGTAACATTAATGTTGTAATGCTTAAATCAGGAATGTTAGTTGAAAAAACTATATTCTTTGTATAAATAAGCATGGAGATGTTGATATAGAAGATTTGGAGAAATTATTATCAGATAAATCTGTAAACCAAATGGTAGATAGATATTTATTCTTTATAGATATATAACATACTCGTATGAATAAAAAAAAAAATATATATATATATAGACATATTTATTTATTTATAGTCCTTTAAACCGAAGTTTGTGATGGAGTAGAGAGTTAACAATAATAATACAAATTTCATAAAATTAAAATAAAACAAAAATAAATAGGATACGTTCTACATACACGTATACATTATACACTCTTTTAAAAGTAGCGTTAATCGTTCTTGTCAGTTCAGCTATACCTACATGTGAATGCTCATTCTTTGCAATGTGGAGAATTAAAACACGGTTTCGAACTTGTATGTATCAAAATAGGTTCAAATTTTTCTTCAATACCTGTATATATATATATATAGAGAGAGAGAGAAATTTCAAATCATATTTTTAAGGAATATAATTTGTATGATTTTTCAAAAACGGAACGAAGGTTTTCTTTTTAAAATCAAAAATTGAATATGTATTTAATTTATAGTTGTTCATGGTTGTCATGTGAAATGACAACCTCTATAATTTTTATCTGAAGACGCTTGAGTAATAATAATATCATTAGGAATCAATAAAATATAATATAAAAATCCAGCAAGGTTTCAAAAGGAATACTGAAAGAAATGTGGTTTGTGTGGGGATGTGCAAATCCGCTTTGTGTGATTGACAAACATTTTTCCAGCTCCATCCCCCCAATTATAAAATTGAAATTACGCCTATGCAGTAGCTCGTTAGTTCCGAGGGTGAATTCTCGCAAATCTCAGCTATTTTTTCACTATATTTAAAAAATGGCGTATACCAAAGACGTTTTTATCTGGGAAGGGGGGGGGGTTGATTCTGAAAAAAGTCAAATACAATCAAAAACGGATTTGTGATGCAACGTGCTCCTGCTACTCAAATATTTTCGCACTTATATAAAAGATTTATTATTAATATTAGCCGATTTGGCCGTATATTTGTCTGCGCATTTGACATTCACTAAGGATGCAAGCGAGTCCGGGCGAGAATCCGATAAAAGGCGCGGTGGACAAACTTCAAATTTCGGGAGAAAATATAAATTTGTATAAATTTGTATTAAATAAAACAAGTATCCAATAAAATCGGGGCTTGAACCTAACTATGTGACACTATAAAAGTTGTTAAACATTAATAGATGAATTAATAAATTGCTAATTTTAGAATTATTATAAAGGCTAAAAGCCCATCATATATTATATATCTAGCCTTATAAATAAGGCAAAGTTAGTATATAATGGCTGTCAAATGGCACAAAATATATTGTGATAATTGAAACTGTAAATTTACAATAAACTTGATTTTTCTCAACTTGAGAACAAAAAATGTATATATTAAAATCACTAGTATTATGTATGTAATGACATTAAATACTAATAATAAATTATCAAAAATTCAAATTATTTAGCGTTCGATATACCTTTATAGTATAATTCTGTCACCAGGGCTCAAAGTGACACAAAATAGTTCCAAAATAGTCAAAGTGTTCTGTGATTTCTATTTTATTTTGAACGTTTTATATATATTTGCATACCGAACAACAAATCATTTTAATATTATATTCGCATAATAATAGGCAAAACTATGGGTTAAGTTAGGTTTATTAAAAATTACATAAATAGACGGAGTATAAATTTAAATAAATGTAGGTGTCAACATTTTTGATTTCCGTCGACTCGTTAACGAGATATTCCACTTTGGGTAGGAGGATAGTAGTAGAACACTAATAAAACGTGCCGTGTCGCCACACAAATAATACCTAAGTACTCTACTACTCTCCCCCTACTCAAACTTAAAAAAGGAAAATCTCGTTAACGGGTCGACGGAAATCAAAAATGTTGACACTTAAATTTATTGAAAGTTATACTCCGTCTATTTATGGAATTTTTTAATATAGGTTCTCATTTGAAAAACCTAAGTAAAAAATCTAAGTATTCGAAAATATCTGCTCTATATTCAAAAATTCCAAAAATCAGAATTTGAATGTATATAAAATTTAACAAAAAAAAAAAAAAAATGAGGTGAGCACACTTTGTTTAGACGCAAAACCTTTTCTCCAAGATTTTTTTCTTATTGGTTCTTGTTACATTAGAGGTGATTTCTTGATTTTCCATGTGAAAAATCCTAAAGAAAATTATAGGTAAAACGGCAAATATTTACTGTGCGCTGCGGCGTTACCGATTTTGTCGTTTGATGTTTACAATTTATGTTTTCTACTAGAAATATTAGTTCAATCGAAAATTTACAATTAATCTATTTTGTTTATTTTAACATATAGCCACTTAAAAAGAAATTCGTTTTTAGATATCGAAAGCATTTTCCATAATAATTGTAAAAATCAAAAAAAGACAAATAATGCGAATTTTTTCAAATTACTGCACAAGGATTAAATTACTTTAATTTTTAACGGCTTATATATTTTCTTGCTCTTTTTCTATGTTTGCTTGTATGTTTTTCATTAAAAATTAAATTAAAATATCTAATAATTTATGACATTTTTATATTGTTCATGAATATCGTACAAAATACTCCGGGTGCAGCCGTGAAGTTTTAAAAAAACTTATTAATATTAAATGTATACTCAATATTGCACAGATTAATATTACATTCTACAAAATGTTTTTAATATCTTCAACCGGTCATTAAATATGTTAGAAAACCATAAAACCAATATTTCCGCCAATTAAATACAATTCTTGAGTTTTTATTATTTTCATAGAAACGATTGATTTTGGAAACATTTTGTACAATTCAAATATTTAGAAATTATTATGTTTTTCAAAAAAGTACTTATATGTTATTATCATATGTGCTGCGGTTTCAGGGCAAAGCTCAAAAATCCAAATGGCCATATTTCAACCCTCTTGAGGCATGGGAAGGGGTGAGTAATCATCACCAAATTTCTTTTTTATAGTATCGAACAAAATGTAAGGATCCTAGCATGACATTTACATACTTGAAATTTAAGGACCACCTTATAATATGTATATAATTTATTCCGACCCATTTCAAACGCTGAATTATAAGATCAAAAACAAACGAAACCACATTTAATCATTCGTGATCATTGATGTGTGATCTAGTGTGATTAGTTATGCGTAATCACACATCAGTCATCGTACACGATATTATATTATGCTTAAAATGTGCGCAGGTCTGTCACTATATACCTACTATTTTAAAGAAATTGTTTTTATTCATTTATTCCGGGCTTCAAAAAATACACGTTTACACTTTACAGTTATGCAGCTGAAAATTAAAAACGTATGTCTAATACGGTGGTGATTGTTCAGTGTGTGGCGCCGACCAGGGTAAATCTTACCCTGCGTAAATCCCTCAGTAATTTTTGAGGCTGGGCGGGTTAGAATTAATGTTAGAATGAGCGCTTGGACATTTGAACGTGTTTTGATATTAAAAGCAATTAATTATCTGTTTCTGCGGCGGGTGACGGGTATTAGAGTATTAGAGTATTAGAGACGGGCGCAATATAGCGTGCGGTGATGACGTATAATAGACCGAGTTGTATGGGTCCAGATTACTTACAAAGTTTTTGAGAAAACTCGCGATTTCCGTGCTTTTTTTTCAATCTTCTCTGAGAATCGTACGCGTATAAATAATTTGTTTCGGCGTACTATACATTATTGTATCGTGTTTATATACCTATAGGTACCGTTTACCGCGACGTACGCGGTTAAAGAGACCGCCTACTATATTTTTTATCTGCGTACGGCACACGAGTGCGTTTACTTGTACTGCAGATATAGGTGTACTTTTAAATAATATAATATTCATATTATTTATTATAGGATGTGTGTAATATTTGTTTATAGGTACGTTTTTTTTTTCTTTTTTTTTTTTCACTATCCGACCGATGTCGGTTCCGATAATATTTATAATTATATTGTATATACGTTTATAATAGTATTATATACACCCGTTCGTACATAGGTATGCTATTCGTATCGCACGTTATTGGCGGTATTTATGTTTTTTGTTCGTTCGTATTGTTTTTGTTTATATATATATATATATATACATATACACCCGACAAATTTGACCCCGTTTTTTTTTTCGTTCTGTTCATATTCGAATGAACGTCGTCCGACGGTCTTTCTATACGTATAAATTCGAAATCGAGTCCTATATAACATATAATATCTACCCCGTCATATCTATAAACGTCTTTAAGAAATATAAGATCGCGCAGTTATCGGATCGCGTGCCGAGCGCATCGGCATCGATACCTCGATACACAAACAACAATCTCGTTCGAAATTCTTGGAAAAAAAAAGACCGTTGGAACATTTTATTTGTTGGCAATTTTTCCTTTTTTTTTTTTTTTTTTTTTTTTTTTTACCGATCAATTTCGATTGATTTTCGAACATGCTATATCTATATACTGCACCACAAAGCCGTGAATAATATAGGTTCGTATGGTGGCGAATAATGTATAACACGCGGCATTGAGGTTTTATTATACACATATACATTTTTTTTTTCCAAATATTAAACACTAATATACGGTTATACGACGACGTCGGCGGCGGCGGCGTGCAGTGCGGCGGTCGGGGATAGTGTGGCGAGGGAACGGAAAGGTTTTATTTTTTTATACATTTTTTTTTTTTTTTTTTTTTT